TGGTTTTAAATTCAAATTTTATAAATAAAAAATATAAATATTAAGATATTTTATTTTTTATAAAATCTGATGTGATTTAATTTTAAATTAATAAATATTAATTTGTTTAAGTTTATACTAATAAAAAAATAAATAAAAAGTAATAACAGTATTTATATGTAACATTAAATTTGTCTAATTTGAAAAAAATTTAAGGAGGGAAAATTTTTATTCAATCAAATTAAGATTTTGAGTTAATATCTTAATTTAATTTGGTTAAAAAAAAACTTTTATTCCTTATATTTATTTCACTCAAACTAAATATTTTCTTATTCTGCCTAATTCTAAATATAAAAAATTTGTAAGGAAATGGAGACAGAGAAATCGATCATTTGATTACAAAAAAGTTTAGAACAATGGCAGAAACAACAGATGGACATTCGTCAGACAACAATGATCAACCTTTGAGTGTATAATTATCTCTAGAGAATCATATCTAATACTTTTGGCGTTCTTTGTGAAGTGGGTCTTTTGGTTATTCCTTGGGCGGCACCATTTAAAAATCAGAAATTAATTAATCAGTAGATTTTTGTCCCTCCCAAATTTGTATGATCAAGAATCTGATCTTTATTGGTTAAAAGTTTTAGTAGAGTACATCACACAAGCATAATACAAGGTTAACGGATGGTATAAGTGTCTTTTCATACCCCCTACCATACTCAACTCGCTAGGGTTTACGGGGACAGCCTGGACGGGGCCAATAAATATGCCCACTCGAGAACCAGTCTATGAGTCATGAAATTGAATGGCTTAAAATATTTGGGCCTTCTAATTAACCATAAGCCTGTAAGAGAGAGATCTGTGCTTCATTGGTTTAGTTCCTACGACAAGGTAGACATCGAGACACAAGGACCAGAGAGGGCATTCAAAAGCTGCATGTATCTTTAAAAGAAAGTAAGAAACAGCATAAATATAACAGCTAGCTCATTCATTGATTAGAAGCTAAAACAAAATTCCTGAAAACTACATCTAACACAATAGCTCTGGGATCTAAACATTTTGTTTCATTTAAGTTTCCAAAAAGTAAAAATGCAAGACGAAGATTTCCGGGCACCCATGGAAGGGACTGGAATGCATTACGGAGAGAAAAAAAAATAATGTATTCCTAGGGATAGAAGAATCCGCCATGATTTAGAAAATCTACAGTTCATCGTGAACATCAGAAGGTTCTGTGTCTTCTTCATCCTCTACAGGTTCAGCTTCAACTTTGGAAGCACCTGCATCTTCCTTTGCCTCGTTCTCAGCCTCAGGTTCTTCTACTTCCTCTTCCTCCTCAATGGCTGCATCGGGATTGATATTGAGGCTGGATTTGACTGAGCTGTAGATGCGGTTGGCAAAATCCTTGGGATCATTCAGCGAGAAGCCACTCTCCATGAGTGCAGTTTGGTAAATAAGATAAGCTGTTTGCTTCAGACTCTCACCCTGAAAGACCCAAAACATTAATGTATAAAGTTGGCAAGAGTAGCGATGCAAATTATGCGTCTAATTAATTAATCTATGTAGTGCCCAAGCATATTCTGAAGTAGGAACTAAACTGTCCCGGCAGTTTATAGCCCATTACTAGTCTCAAGTTTGTTATTCAAAATGTATGATAATGATAAAATAACTCAAGATACCTCTGGGTCATTTGCAACTCTCTCACGGAGCTCCTTGATGATCGGATGTCTAGGGTTGATCTCAAGCACCCTTTTGCCACGCATATATCCTTGCTTACTAGCATCGGATAGTGTTTGAGATTGCATGATCCTCTCCATATTGGCACTCCATCCAAACTTCGAGGTTACAACCACACAAGGTGTGTTGTCCAATCTGTTGCTTATCTTCACATCATCAACATTCTCACTGGCAAGTGCACCCTTCCACCACTTGGTGAGTTCCTTAAACGTCTCCTTGAGTTCTTTGGTTTTTGAGTCTCTCTCCAATTTCAGACCCTCCTTGGAGACATTTTGGAACTTCTTATCTTCATAATCCATCAGATACTGCATCAGGTATTCATCAACTGGATCTGTGAAGAAAATAACCTGGAAAGTGTGACACAAAAACCGTGAATACACAAGGAAAAAACCAGGTGAGAAAGAAGAAAAGATCATTTTTGAAAAATATTGCTTAAATATTATAATGCTTCATATTTGCAGTACCTCATAATTTTTCTTCTTGAGCCTTTCCAAGAATGGAGATTTTTCCAATTGTTCTTTGTTGGTTCCAGTAATGTAGAAGATATCTTTTTGTCCTGGTTTCATTCTAGAGATGTACTGATCCAGTGAAGTCAATTTACCATCAGACTTGGTGCTGTAACAGAACCAACATGCAATAAGTCACCACTTTTAGAAAGAGGAAGCCATCCAGAGAAAAAGGGTTCATTAAGACAAGAAGAATACAAAGTACCTCTCGAATCTGAGAAGTTTTGCCAAGCGATTTCTGTTAGTTGCATCCTCAACAATACCGAGTTTAATAGATTTGCCAAACTCATTCCAGAATTTAGTATATTGACCCTTCTTCTCATCATCATCACTGGATGTATCAACTTCTGCATCAAAATCGGCACTCAATATCAATTATTATTACCGTATAAACCATTTGAAGTTTTTTTTTTTTTTGGGTAGAAACCATTTGGAATTGAAAGAAGAAAATTTAGGTCATAAACTGTTAGCATGCAATGAAAAGGTTAATTGAATAAAAAAAATTATAGACTTCCAATATTTGATGAAGCTTTATAAAAAGAGAAAAAAATATGAAATATAACCCCTTCCCAAAAAAGAGTAAAAAATGATCAGCTACAACACACCTGTCTTGTCTTTGTCACTGGACTCATCAGGATCCTCCTCAGCAATTTTGCGGATCATATCAAGGGCCTTTCGGATGAGCTTCTTCTTGATTGTTTTTAAACTGCTGTGTTGTTGAAGCATCTCTCGAGATACATTCAATGGTAGAGTGTCAGAATCAACAAGGCCCTGCCAACATGTCAACAATTCAGAATCAATAAAATGAATCAAATGAATTGTTACAGCCGATTTGATTAAAAGAGGTTTGCATCTCAAATTACCTTCAAGAAGCTAAGATATTTTGGCAAGAGCTCATCAAATTCATCAGAGATGAAAACCCTTCTCACATATAACTTCAAGTTGGCCTTGTTGGTGTTATAGTAACTCTCATACAGATCATGCGGAGCCTTAGGAGGCACAAACAAAACAGCCTTGAACTCAACATCACCTTCAGCAGTGAAGTGAGTCCATGACATAGGCTTCTCATCACCAAATTCCTGTTTGAGCAACATAAATGCATAATGATGAGGGAGAAAATAAACATATAAGCACACAAATTTTAGAAAGGAGAAACTTCTTCATACTATTCTTATGTATGCAGCAGGTATTAAATATATGGAAAATTGAAAATTACCTTTACCAAAGACTGATAGAATTTTGTGTATTCTTCATCTGTCACATCCTTTGGACTCCGCAACCATATAGCCTTAACATCATTCAAAAGCTCCCATTCATATGTTGTCTCCTTCGCCTTCTTTGTTTTTGGTTTCTTCTCTGTCTCTTCATCTTCACTTTTTTCGGTATCCTCATCTTCTCCTTCTTCAGAAGTGCTGCTTTTGGCTGCTTATAGCAGTAAACCATAAAACACATAAATATTGCTTTACATCAGGCATTAGGTTGTCAATAAAATATTAGGACAATTTTATTTTAAGCATGCATACATGTTTCCTCATCACTTGTCTCATCTTCATCTGAAGTAACTTCAACATCAACCTCTTTGCTTGCCCAGAGATGGATAGGGAAGTTAATGAATTCAGAATATTTCTTCACCAAATCCTGCAAAGAAGAATGCCTTTGCATATTACATAAATAATAAACAACAACATTAAACAAAATTACTAAAACAATAAAGCATCTAAGGAAACCAAAAAAATATAAAATATATATATATATATATAAAAAAATCCATTTCAATACAGATTATAAAACAAGAATCCCTATGGGATTCTTGAGCAATAAGATCTTATTCAATAATAAATCTAACAGATGGTGAAAATGACACACACACACTACTAGTAGTAGAGAACAGTAGATCAAATAACTATTAAGAAGTAGCCATTCAGGATGTTTTTAGTGAGGCCAAAATGAATAAGAAAGATGTTTCTCCCTACAATCTATGATACAGATCAGTACTTAACAAGGGCAGGGAGACTGTCAAGATAATAACTGATACTAATAGCAAGATATAAACTAGGACAAAATTAGCACATTCACTTATGATGGAGTCAACACAGGTATCCTAATCCCAGGACCAGCATTAAACATGCCAAGAACAACAAGCAAGTACTTAAATATAATAATGAAAAACAAAGTATAGAAACATGATAAATTTAATCCATCCACATTATAGATGACATACTATTATACTACCTCTTAAAGCATGGAAGGCAAATGTAACTTCAGGCACATTCAGATCATAGCCATAGAAATAATAATGGAAGGGAAAAGAAACAAAGTAAGAGCACCTTCAATTTGCTCTCCTCTAAGTACTCTCCAGCTTCCTCCCTGAGATGCAATTTAATCTCAGTTCCACGTCCCAGTGGTTCATTCCATGTATCCTCAGAAATTGCAAATGCCCCATCAGCCTTTGATTCCCAGACGTACCTGAAAGAGTGAAATAAATTGTTTTCTATATCATCAATTAACAATCAACTCTATTTCACAGAAATACATTATGTAAGAATACGCACTGTTTATCGTCATTATGTTTGCTAATAACTTCAACATAGTCCGCAACCAGATACACAGAATAGAACCCAACACCAAACTGCCCAATAAGGTTCAGGTCTCCACTTGTTTGCATTTTCTCCACAAATGCTGCATGGCAAATAAGAAATTGTATTTAAGTCACAGTTGCTCAATTCTTCAAATTAAGGAACCCAGTTCAACATAAAATGTGATCTAATTTGGCACATAGCATATTTACCTGAAGTTCCAGATTTTGCAATAGTTCCCAGGTTCTTGATCAAATCTTCTTTTGTCATTCCAATACCTCTGTCTCGAATTGAAAGAATTTTCTTTTCTTTATCCAACTTAATCTATACACGATCACATGTAAAGGTCAGAACACATAAAGCTAAAATGCATCAAACGATAGCAAATTATACATATTTCAAGAATCAACCCAGTCCTAAACTCCTAATAACACTGATATATTTCTTTGGTAGCTCAGTAGGAGTAAATGGTGGCTTAGCTACAAAAACTTCAGATTACAACACCAACCTGAATCTCAAGCTTGGCAGTGTCGCCTTCACCCAAAACTTCTTTATCTACTAGGGAAAGGAACCTAATCTTGTCCAAAGCCTGAAGATAAAAAACCTCTAAATCAAAATCAAGTACCAAAACAACCACAATTACACTGCATAAACCATGACTAAGGAAAATTCACTTGGAAAAGCAGTAAACTCACATCAGAAGCGTTGGAGATTATCTCCCTAAGGAAAATATCCTTGTTACTGTAAAGGGAGTTGATGATAATATCCATGAGCCGAGACACCTCAGCCTGGAACTCAAACTTCTCCGCATTACTGCGGAGCGATCTCTTGGAGATCGACTCTGATTCCCTGAACAAAAATTAACACCTTCTGGCTTCAGAACAAACACAAATTATACACACACAAACTAAAATACTGCTAATGAAAACCTTACGAACCTTTTAACGACATCGGAATCGGTCTGCAAACCATTTGGCACAGCACCGATCTTATCTTCCACCTTCGGAGGATCAACAGCTCCTTCATCTGCATTTGCTTGTAGCTTTCGTCCTGAAAACCACCATAGATCCAGATTCAGGTGACGGAACTAACAGAATGTAGAAATCTAGAAACGAAAAACACAGGAGCTAGCAGTACCTTGATCGGGGATGAGACATAGGAGACAGAGGAGAATCAGAGCGGAAGGGATCGCCCACTTCCTCATTGTTTTCTACTAGCTTCGCTCACGCTCTCAGTGAAGTTATATTAGTTACTGGCAATTTAGGGAACGGCTTACATTTTACGACTTTTATACAATGGTGGTTTAAGAGACGGGGGTGTAGATCTTGGTCTACGAGGAAATGAAATGTTTGGATCGTTTTGATTGGTTATTGAAGCCAGCGTGGAAGATCAGATGGCTGTCTGTGAATTTCTTCATACGTGGCGGGATTTTATTGGTTTCAGATTGTTTGATTGACGTGGAGGAGCCGAGTTTTTGGCCGGCCCCACGAGACGACTTGAAACCCAGAGTTTACTCCAATCTCGTTGACGAGGTGGTGATCGAACGGCTACGTGGTTTGCAAACGTGGCGAAATATTATTGGTTTTTTGTCTCGGTTTGACGGGGACTGAGCAGTGTCTTTCTGGACAAAAACTCCAACGATAAAATTATAATAATATGTTATATTATAATTATAATAAAATTAGAATGATAAATTTATAATTATTTCGTAATTTGAAATACATATAATATAAT